GATAATAACAATAAAGGGCTTCTTTTATTTTCTCCAATGGCCCCTTCTCAGTGAGCCCCAGGGCCCATCCACAGCTGTGAGCCCCCTGGGGACAGCACCTACCCTGCTGGCCTCAGTGTCCCAGGCAGGGCTCAATGCTTATTAAATGAATGAGTGAGCCTGTGGAACTTAGCGTGACGTGTGGCGGGCTGCTTGCTGTAACCACCAGCTCCCACCAGCGCCCCTCACCCCCAGGCTGTCCTGAGGGAGTCTCTTACCTGGACGGTCCCTTGGACAAGTGGGGTGAGCTGAACCCTTGGGGAACACATGGGCCTTTTCTATTCAAGCCTGTGTGTAAGCACTGACATTGTATAAAATAAGCCACGTGGGCCCCTAAAACCCCTACAGTCAGCCCTTGGACTAGATAGAGCCTCCAGCTTAGGCCCACGGGAGCCCCCAGAAAGGAACAAGATCCGTGACATACGGAAATTATTGCTTTAACAATGATAGAGATAAATATACTTTTCCCACTGGTTGGCTGTTCTGAGTGGCACTTGTAGAATTGAATTGGCAATGCATTAATATGTACGCACAGGGCCCACTTATCTCTAGAAGAGCTTTCACGAAGGGTTGTTTTTCTTTTTTCCTAATTGGTTTCCACTAAATTCTAATCATAAATCCTGAATTCAGCTCGGTAAACAAGATCCCACCTGATGTTCATGAGCACGGAGGCAGGTAGGCTGGGTCTGGTGGCTGGGAGGTGTGGGGTGCAAGGTGGCCCTGGACACAGGAAGGAGCTGGCTTGCAGACCTGGCACAGCTTACTGTCCCTGGCTGTGTGGAGCACATCCCAAGCAGAGGGCATGAGACCAGTCTGGGAGCACAGGACACTGTTTCCCACTGCCCTCTCCTGGATTCTGCGACGGGTTAGTGCCAGGGCTGAGGGAAAGGAAGGCCACCGAGCCAACGGCACTGGCTGCTTCAGGAGCAGTGGTACACTTCTTGGGGGCCACATGGTGTGGTGAGGAAGGCCCTGGCCACTTCCCTGGGCCTATGGGAGGTGCCTGAAGGCATGAACTCCATAAATGTCTTTGCCTCCAAAACCCAACCACATACACAAGCAGATTTGGGTCTCTCTTGATGTCAGTAATTACAAGCTCTACATTTGCACTGAAACAAAAAGGCGTTAGACTATCAGAAGCAGAGCTGTGCGTTCTTCCAGGCTGGCTGCTCTACCAGAGCAGGAAAGGGGTGGGCACTGGGTGAGCTGACATGTCTGTCACAAAGCAGTCTTCTATATGTGACCTGTCACAGCCAGGCCACTGCAGAGGCCCCACCGGGAAGAACACAGCTACATACGTGCTTTCCTACAGTCACTGTGAGATGCAGTCCAGGAGAACAGGCCTGGTGGCCTTGGAGCGGGGCTTCTCCCAGCCAGGCTGCATCCATGATCAGCCCACCGGCTGCTCCACAACATCCACGGCCTTCAGGAGGAGCTAGGGCCCCGGACTGCCTCTTCCTTCCCGCTAGACTCAGGACACTCCCAGCCACAGGGGCTTGGTTCTGTTTTGCCTCCTGCTCCCTCGCGCCGGTGGGGGAAATTCCTCAGAGACTTATGTGGGCCGTGTCTGTAGTATGGTGTAGCCATCAGATGAACACAGTTGATTGAGGGCGGCTACCATGTACACCGGAGCACACAGTCCCAGACAGACAGGAGCCCCAGGCCACAGTCCATCCTGGGCAGACGTGCTCCCCTCCCTGGGCATGGCGGGGCGCCACCACGGGCTCCCCAGACACCATCTGTGTCCCTAGCTGTGGTCCATGCACACAGGCTGTGTGGGTGGGCACTGCCCGGAGTGGCTCGTGGCGGGAGCCTCATAATGGTAGCTGGATGGAAGTCGGAAAGCTGGGCCTCCAGTGCCCGAGAGCCAGAGACTGCTGGCTCCCTTTACACCATCTAAGAGGCTCAGAAGTGACCCAACCATGGGTGGGACACACGGGGACAACAGCCCTTCTGTTGAGATAAAGCCTGAGAAAAGGAAATGGCTTCAGTGGCTGATTCCCCCAGGTCTCACTCCGCAGACTGAGGGGGCTCCTAAGGCAGGTATGGGACAGCCCTCCAGGCACTATAGACACTGGGAACATGGCCATCTGGGCTCTTCCAACAGTGTGCAGAACTCCCATGCCTCAGGGATGGGTGCGCCAGAGCCTTCGTCCTTCCCTCAAGTGAAGGACAGAGAACCTTCCCAAGAGGCTTGAGATGCTGAGGGGCAGGGGACAGTTTTAGCTCCCGGTTCCCCAGGCTGTGATCCAGGTGCTCTCCATCCCTGCTTTAAAACAAAATCTAAGCTAAACTAAAGCCCATCTGTACCCTAGAAGCATTTACACTGGGAGGTGTCCACTCCGACTTCCGTCTTGCTCCCACTCCCCCAAAGAGCCGGGGATTCAGGACACAACTGGTTAACTGTGCAGGGTGAATTCGAGCCCGCGGCACAGCGCAGGCTGACTGTCTTCACTCAGCACTGTAATCGGCACATCTGCAGACAGGAAATCCTCCTCGCTGCGAGTTCCCAGTCTATTATCTGAGACACCTGGTGTGGGTGGGTGATTCAGAGACAAACAATGAGTGGGCCCCCTGCACAGCAATTAACTGCTTTAACTGCTAATGTGTTTAATCCACCACGTGGAGATCAAGGCTGCGCCAGGAAGAGGCTCAGAGTCCTCTGCTTCCAGACTGCAGGGCTGACTTTGCCATCCCTGTGTCCACTGTCCTCGCCAGCGGTGGCCCAGGCATTGGGTACACGGGCAGCCAGGCCAGGCAGGCTCTCGGCCTCACGGGAGCTCCTTGCAGCCTTCAGCATGTGTCCGCAGGGCATAAGGGGCGTCCTTCCCCTTTGTTTTTAACTCACGTCAAAGCCCCAGCTTGCTGCTGGGGCGGGATGTCCGGTCCAAGAGCTCTTTGTTGCGCCAGCCCTGTGGTCCCCAGCGCATTTTATTTTAACCTCCTGGATTGGATCATTCTTTATTGCAAGTAGAAATAGTGCCTGGCTAAAGGCTTACGGGGGTAAACCGGCAGAAACATTCCCAGTTGTTAAACTGGGAAGTGGCTCCTGATGTTTACAAAATCTGGCCCGGGAGCGAGCAGCAAAGTCAGCACATGCCCGTGCAGCCCCAGAAGGCGTGCCAGAAACCGCCGCCACCGCAGCGCCGCCTCGGGAAGCAAGGTCAAAGGCCAAGGACTGTGAAAAGCTTCCACCCCCAGCATCAATCACTCTGGGCAGACTGTCTGGGGATGCTCTTTTTGAAAATACAAAAAATAAAATGGACACCCAGTGGAGGAGGGCAGGCATGCACGCCTGGGGCCCTGCTTGTGGCCCACCAGGCCCTGTCTGCAAGCTGGGGGACCCTGAGGCTTTCGGAGGGCACAGCCCCTCACCAAGCTCCTGCCATCAGCATGGGCCTAGCAGATAGCTCTAGGTGGAGGCCTGTACCTCAGTGCAAAGGTCGAGACCAGGGATGTGTGTGCATAGGGTGGCACACAGAGACATCTGGGGATAAAGGGGGAGGGCTACGGTGCAGATGGGAGGGGAGAAACATGCTACGTCCCTGTTTAGAATGGAGTTTAAGTTATTAACCATCATTTACATTTCTGGGTTTCAAGAGTTACGCAATCTTTCGTAGTATTCATATAAACCTGCTTAAAATTTACAATTTGCTCAAGGATATTTCCTTTGGTAATTTATTGAATTTTGGTCAAGAGGCACTAAATTCACTCCAGGACATTTCAGATCTTTCCCTGGTTCCTCAAATTTGCTCTTGGCCAGACAAAAGTGAAGAGCTCTGACTCCTCCAGAGTTTAATTCACCTTCTGATTTCCAGTCTTTCTGAACAACTCAGAAAAAAACAGGCTTTTCAGAAGCACATTGCACTGTGATGCAGCCCTTCTCCACCTGGAGCCCCACCTCAGGGATCCCTGGGACCTGGTGGCCAGGTCTTGACAAACGCTGACAGGACAGCCCACCTGAGTGACAGCCCCTCTGAGTGCTCAGTAACCATGGGCTTCACTGACCTGGAGCCAGATGACAATCCTGTTAGCCACATGAATTCTAAGCCCAGGCTCACAGAAGAGGGACAACTGACCAGGCTCAGGGCAGACAGAACTCTTCAAACTGGAAATACCAAGAATGAGCAAGACCTCGATTGCTCCTACTTTTAACATGCAAGTGATGGGTGCTTAGGAAAACAACACTGTAACCCCAGAAGCCACAGGTATCAAGGCAGTGGGATGTCACAGCAGGTACGCCGTACTCGCACTCCGCACACCCTTCCTAATAAGACCCGTCGCACTCCATGGAGGGAGCCCACTCACAGCACGGACGTGCCCCAGCTATGAGCAGGCTCCTGATGGCACAGTGTCTGGGCTCCCTACTCTCTCTGTCCAGCTTGAGGCCAGGGTGCCTTTCCTCGAAGCCCATTTCCTTTCCTCAGACCAGCCCAGGCCCAGGCCCAGCTCCTGGGCAAGGCTCTCCCCGCTCCCTCCCAAATCCATACTCTCCACCCTTCTCTTCACGGGGGCGGCTTAGGGAGTGTGTCCCACAAGGTCAGCAGTGGGCTAGTTCTGCACAGCCACACTTGCCCAGCCTTTGCCCCTACTAAAAACTGCTTCTGGGCCTCTCAGAGAACAGGAGGATGAGAACACAGCCCATGCCTGGCTGGGAAAGGCCTGAGGCTTCTGCCTCATCACTGGATGCTATTTTTGGAAGTCTGCAAAGTGTGACTTCCGGAAAGGGCGGTAAAATGCCCCTCCTAGCACATGATGACCTGCAGCGCTCAAAGCAACCTACTGGGAAGTATCTGAAACAATCCCGTGAGCCTTTGCGATAGCCCAAGGGGTACACTCTGTAGCAGCTGACCGGCAGGAGAGCCAGCAAGATGAGAGGAGCCCCTGGAGACAGAGAGAAGGGAAGGCGGGCCTCCGGTCTCTGGGTGGGGCTTGTGTGCGTATGGCTCGCACACCCTTACCTATGGCCCATAGAATGGTGTCGAAGGTGCCCATGTCCTCCCTGCCAGAGGCGAGGTCCTTCCAGGTGACCTGAAGCTGGCCGTCCGGGAGCTTCTCCACTCTCAGAGGGGTGCAACCCCTCAGGAACTGGGTGCCGTGAGAAGCCATGTGCTCTGTGACCAAGGACGACATTTGCTACAAAGCACAAGAGGACACCCTGTGAGGACCAGATGGCGGTGAGAATGTCACTACTGATGACTGGGAAGAGAGGACCTGGCCCCCTGCCTGCTTGAAAAGGCCCTGGGGGGCGGGAGGGCAAGAGGGGTCTTCCAAAAAAGAGGGTTCGGTGCCCCCCACCCCTTCTGCTACATGGTCCCAAGCAGACCACCCCCACCTCTGGGTCCCCTTGCTTTCTGAGGAGCTAAGGGCTGAGCCAGGTCTCAGAGCATCTGGCGCCCTTTTCCCCTCCCCCCCAGCTCCAACTCTGAGGACGCTGGGCCCTATGGTTAGGTTGCACTTGATCTCTGGACACTTCTTTAGATGCTGATTAACTGTCTGCACCGAAAGGTATGACAGAGAAGTGCCCCCTTCTCCTGGGGGCTCTGACGTACCTCAGCCAGGTGGCACTCTGTTCCCTACCCTCCCTCCGTTGAGTGTGGTCAGCAACTCTGCCATTGAGAAGCTGGGACAATAGTATGTGGGCACCTATGCTCCCTACCGAGAAACACAGGGGTAGTGAGCATGGGGGGGGGGGGGGGAGGCTGGCGCTTCTGCAGAGAGGGCTCCTCCCACCCGGCCCAGGAGGCTCCGTACCCCTAGGCTGCAGAGTGGAGCCCAGTACTGTGGGGCTTTGTCACAGAGGCACAGTCAGCCACAGCTTCTCTTTTCAGGAGAAAATCAAAAGCACTATTTAAATGCTCTGATATCTGCTCAGATGAGCCAGCTCACTTAGGGATTGGCACACCATGAGGCTCCTGCCTGTCTGGGACTGTCACCCTGGTTGCAGGAACAGACAGGTAAGTAGGCTGTCCCTCCTGGACCCTTCTGGACACCTGATGGGCCCGGATGTCCACATTCCAGTTTGAGGAGGAACTGCTGGACCCTCTCAAGCCACAGCGCTGGTCCACCACCCCTAGACCTGTCACCGGGGGCTGCACGTCCTTCTCGCTGAGGCATGCCCTCGGTCACCTGGCCTCACCACTGTGCCTCTCCCAGGGCACACCTGGAGACTGCTGCCTTTCCTTCCAACTCTCTCTCACCTGAGTGACCCCACCACCTCGAAACGTCAACAACATCCAGACTCTACCCAGGTACCAGACTGCCCTCCCCCTGCTACCAATGCCTCTAGGGCGTGCCTCCCACCATGTGGGCTTCAGTTCCCACTGCCAACTTGGCCCACCAGCCCAGCCTCGCTCACTCCAGCCCCTCAGCAGGCCCAGATCTGCCTTCTTTTCGTCTCCTCCATGGGGCCCCCTTTGAGAACTGCACCCCCTCTTGTTGTCTCAGCTTCTGCCTCGGCTCAGCGCCAAGGCTGGTCCTCCCAGCAGCCCTCATCCCTGCAGGCCCCTCTGCCTCTCTGGCCTCATCTCTGCTGCATCTGGCCACGCGGCCTCCTCATGGCTCCTGTCTGCTGCCTGGCATTCTCTCTGTAGCGTCAGAGACCTGCTGTAGACACTGTGTCCCCTCAGCAGGTACTCAGTGCCTCTGTGCCGAGTAAAGTGATGGACGGCTGTGACAGCCAAAGGGCAAATGGCACACAGTGGGAGGAGCACAGAGGGGCAGGTCTCCATGTTGCCTGGGCAGGGCAGGTCGGGGAGCCAAGGGTGGACCACAGGCTGGCAGGGCCATGTGATAGATGGCGGTGCATCTGCTTTTTTGGGGGGCATAGAGAGCTTGAGATCTTTTTTTTTTACAAGAATAATTTAAATTTTTATTTTCTGTTGTCTTAAAGGGGTTGACATCTTGACAAAGGCAATCCCAGACTTGGATTTTAATAGGTGACTTTTCCTTGGAGAGTTTTTAGTTAAAAAACAAAACACACGCTTCTCACGGGGGTATGTCTAATGTCACTGCAGGTACAGATCAGGATGACTTGCATGGTGCAGACCTGGTGAGGTAGCCCTCTGAGCTCCTGCCATGTGGCTGTCAGGAGTGGCCCATGACAGGCTTGCTGTGCTCTGAGCTGGCCCTGCCCCTGTCCGGTGCGTGTAGAACTGGCCGGGCCTTAGAGGCTACGCTAATGCCCCCAGCTCTCAGGGAGGACCATGCACCCACCTGGGAACTGAGTGCTCATCCTAGCTCGCTGGTAACATCTTTCCAGTCTATGGCAGGTGGTTGGCACTTCAGCCAGGGACTGCTGTCTCCTGAGGTAGCCACCGAGGGCCTCCCCAGTCTGCCACCTGCTCCCCTGCCTGGTGCTGCCCTTGGTGAGGCGGCATACCCCCTTGGACCCCCGAGGGGCTCAGCAAGAGACACAGGACACTGCCTCTGCTGACACGTCTGCCACTTGCGATGGAAGGAAAGCAGTCCATGAGGCTGGCTCCGCGTTCCCAGAGCTGCCACACGCTTTACGTGCCAACCGTTGCTTCCACACTGTCAGGTGTTTTTATATTTCACAGACAACCTCATTCAACTCAAGGGCCAGTGTCTAAGGCCTGAGATGTTACTCCCAGCCCACACCTGCACCTTCCCGGGCCAGGGCAGTGAGCGGAGGGAACGTGCAACCCCCTGGGGATAACAGAGCCACAGGGTGGGAGCTGAGCCCACGGGCATTACCTGGTCAAAGCCCCGCAGAGGAATGCTGCGTATCATGACAGTGGTGTCCAGTCCAAGCCCGGTGAGAAAGCCAGCACACTCCAGGGCCACATCTGCCAGAAACAGGTTAAGGAATGCAAACTAGCTGATCGTGACATTGGGAGCCAAGTGGCAAGACCCCAGGGCCCTACGTCATCAGCCCACTTTCCACCAGTCCCCAGCCAGCCCAAAGGAGGCTCCTGACACTGCTCATAGAGAGCCCCCTGCCCCCTCCTCTCAAATGCATGTCTAGAGTAAGGTGGGGGGCTCCCTCTAGCACCCACGGGCCAGGTGGTTTCTGCCTCCATGGGGCATCTGTCTAGACTCCCTGGAGCTTAATCTCAGTTTCCGGGGTTAGGCCTACCCTGTGGGGTCCGAGTGGTGACGGGAAGGAAATGCCCCTTCCATGAAAGACACAAGGCAGCCGCTTCTGGCCTGTGTTCTCAGCTAACAGTCCCAGGGCTTTCATCTTCCCTCAGATGTCCCCCCGCCTGACCCCATATCCCCTTGTGGCTCCTCTCCTGACCTTCCCTGGTTCTACTGCTCCCTCTAAAGAAAGAGGCCTGAGTAAGTGGGGCTGCTCTCAAGGGAGGATCACCTGCCTCACGGCTGCGTCCAGCTGCCCGGCTGGCTCAGCCGCCTCAGTGTGTGGCTCAGGAAAAGCTGCCAGGAAGCCCAACCTCAAAGGTCAGCCTCAAATTGTCCCCTGAGTACAGGTCATCCACCCTGAGTGGCCCTCATAAGTGCCTGCTTCCAGGCAGCAGAGTGTACTCCCTGACAGAAGGGAGAGCAGTGGGGAGGGGCTCTAGGCACTGAGCTTGCACTCTCAGGGTTGTAGACACGGCATTTTGTCACTTGAACGCTATCAAAGGATACAGCTGGCTCCAACCACCAACCTGTTAGAGGAAAGGACACAGAACGGAAGAACAGAAGTGAGGCTCACGTGTGGCCCGCCATCCTACACAAGCAGTTGTTCTGAGTGGCGGCTCTGCCATGGGGACGGGGCCCTCCAGCCTTCACGCAAAGCATTTCGTCAGCTGATATGTCACTACTGATGAGTCAGCTGAGGCTGACTATTCAAACAGATTGTCCCAAGGTACAAAACCCACTTCCCAGAGGCTCCAGCTATGAAATACAACATGACAAACAGTGTCATTGAATCAGGAAATTGCCTGGTGGTGAAGGACATAAGTGGTCAGTGACAAAACAGCACATGTCCCGTGAAAGGCCCTGGCAGTGGGACCAGCAAGACTTTCACGGATGTGTTGCGAAAAGCCCAGTTACAGGAAGCAGAAGGGTTTTCCTTCTGTCCTAAGATAAGTTCTACCTTGGGGTCTCTCTGGACCTCCTGCAGCCAGGGTAGAAACAAAGAGATGCTTTGCAGGATACGGAGGGGACCAGACAGTGCGGGGGCGAGCGCTCCTGAAAAGCATCGTCTATGGGCAAAACACTCTTAGATCACGGAAGGCCAGGCCAGAAGGCCAACACCTGCCTGTCCAGCCCCAGCACACAGAGGCCCAGGGCCAGGAGAGCCAGCTCCTCTGAGAGAGGAAGAGGGGGGAGGGGCGGCCACAGGATGCTGGGAACAAGCCGAATCATTTAAAATATCTGCCATAGTATAAACCCTCTCCTGTAATTCAGCTCCATACTCTGCATGCACACACACACATGCACACACACACACACACACACACCTGTACACATGCACACACATGCAGATATGCACGGAACCTAACGCAGAATGAAAACTCCCAGCCTGGGAGGCGATATGTGGGTGGGCTTGTCAGATCACCCCTTCAGCCTTTGAACAAGAGGAGGTGATGTAAGGATGGATAAACCCAGTGTCAGCTCTAATCCCGGCAGGTACTAATGATATAATTCCATTTCAAGAAGTGGCATATCCCATGGAATACTCCTGCAGGTGCCCTGCAGGAAGCAACTGGCGCATGGCTTCCTCTCAGGAGCTGGAAGAACCACAGTGTCACATCTGGGGTGGGTGCAGAGGGCTCAGTATGTGAGGAAGCCGAGGGGGACTCATGCACACATGTGGGTATCACATACACATCTATGCATAGGTACATTTTCAAAATTACAAAACCTCATTTTTTTTGGACTCAATGTATATGGTGAAAGGTATATGCCTTTCTTTAAGATATGAAATTATGAGTTGCTTAGAATACACATAGATTTTAGCTATTTTGAATATCCTGCACTAAACTCAAGAACAAAGTTGGGTTAGAGCATCCATGCTGAACATAAAGGGATGCCCTTTGCTCCTGCTTCCAGTGGCAGCGATAGCATGGGCTGACCGCCTCCCGGCCAGGTGTGCTGTGCAGGCGCTGGTCTGCAGGTAGCCCCTCTGACAACCAAGTGGGCTGTCCCTGCTTGTCTCTGAGCCATTCTGCCTTCATTATTCAGGTCCTCCTGCAGGGGTGGGCTGGCCACAGCCCTTGGCCCACAGGACAGGTCCAGGCCCTCATATCATGTTGCTATATGCAACACAGTCACATGGTCTCCTGATTTGGGCAAAAATATTGTTTCTGCAGCCCCTGCATGTCTCCCCGCCCTCTTACACTATGCGGATGGGGAGTTGGACAGGGAGGCAGGGCAAGTGGGTGCCAAATCCCCAACTCCTCCCACGGAACCCCCTCAGTGCCCTGGGCTTCCCATTCCCACCTCAAAGTCACAGGTGCCCCCACCTCTCAGGCCACCAGCTCTGAGTCACTGACAGAGGGCACATCTAGGAGGAGGCAGGCACCAGCCAGGCCATTCCTAAGGGGGTGTCCTTGACCAAATGCGTGCGACTGAAATCTCACAAACAAAAGCAGGTTTCCCACGCATATCGAGGGTAACCCTGGGCCTCTTCCTGACTTACTGAGGCAGGATTATCAACTGTGTTGGTTTTCACTCCACCCCTGCCCCCAATTTATCAAATAATGATTATTCTTTGAAGAATGAAGGATCTGCGAACTCCCTTCAAATGGACTAAAGTAAGCACATGCTGACGCAAAAGTGGAGACGGACACTGGAGCCTCCAAGTCACGAGGAGGGAGAATGGCAGACAGGGACACCATTTTGTTTTTATTGGTAAATTTGAAACTGCAGATCAGTTTCTGCTGGCCACTGAGGAGCCTCTCGGCCTGGATGGGGACCTGGGAACAGTGGGGCTGAGACTAGGTGCCAAGGCACAGTGACCAACGCAGGCCCTGGCTAACCCCAGGACAGCAGTGCTGGCAGCAGCAGAAGTCAGAGGACCAGCTTGTTGGACCTGGGAAAAGGGGTGAGGGAGCCTCTGAGGGCTGGAAACACTCTCCTTATCCCTACATTAGGAGGCCCGAGACTAGGGCATGCGCTCACGCCGGAAGTCAGCACCTACACCTTGGAGCCCCTGATTTAATTTTCCGTGTATTCTGGGCAGCTCCACTCTATGTGCCTTTTGGTGTGCAAACATTTTATGGGAAGGTATAACTACGGTGGGATTAGCCTAATCACAGGGAAGGCTTTCTTGTTCAAAATCTGAATGGGGGGAGGAAGCAGAAACAAAAGCTTTAATTCAGGCCCATGAAGCCCTGGCTTAAAGAGCTCTCCACCTGCCTCTCGAGTTTGAAGGCCCCTGATCTGCTCCCCAAGAGGAACACACACACAAAGTGAGAGCCTCACAGCAGGCACCTGGCCCCTTGGCAGTCCTGCCAGTGCAGGAAATGCCAAACAGGCCCCAGGGAAGCAGCACGGGGTTGGGGGACCCAAGGCCTCCTCCTGAGTGGGGGCCAGCCCCATCCCACCCTCAGGTCCCAATGCTGAGCCCACTTTCACCAGGTCAGAGCCTCTACATTCTGGCTTCATAACAGATGCCACCCCGAGGCTCTGGCCTCATAGTTACTGCTACCCTGAGGAGATGTCTTTCTCAGCCCCTGAGCCCTGTGCATCTTAGCCACATGGATACACCCAGAGAGATGGTCAGCGCTGTTTTATAGGCTGGTAGCCAAGTCCAGGCAGTTGGTTGTTCTCCCTTTGGCTGGACACAAGGATGTCACACTAAATGAATATGAAAGTTAAGCATAAAATGAGAAAATTAAGCAGCAGTGAGTTTTCTTAAATTAACAGCTATGTTTTTTCACAAAATAAAATTTATATTCTTCTCTTTTGCGCTTAGGAAGGAGAAAAATGATTATAGCACCTGGTCAGCTTCCAGGCTTAATAAAGGTCAAAAAGAAGCTCCTTCCATGACCAACTCTGACAGGCAGCATTAAATCAGCCCGAGTTACAAAAACTCTCCCTGCTTCACTCTCCTGGGGGCTCCAGGACAGAGAGGGTCAGGCCGTGGAGCAGCTGCAGGACAGTGCACAGTCCCGGGCTGGCAAGCTGGCAGGGCAGCTACAGGAGAGGGCAGTCAGCCTCTCGCTCTGCAGGCCCTCAAGGAGACCTAGGCTGCCTGAGTGGGTAGTGGGAACAACAAGGTCGTGATCCTTATCTGGAAATGGCAAGTCCATCGCCTGGTAGGTCCAACATGAGGGAAAAGCCGCCCCTAGGTGTCTCCAGTCTCATTTAAGTCCTCTTTGAGGTCAGAGAAAAGTGCTGACACTGAAGTCAGCCCAAAGCTCCAGCTCAGAGTCCATCTCTGCAGAGAGCTGACCTCCAGATCTTGAGTGAGCCCCAGGCAGGAGTGTGGACCAACTGGACCAGGGAACCAAAGGAGTCTAGAGTAGAGTGGTCTCAATTCCCCACCCTTAAGGCACCCGAACAGTTGCAGCAGGCAGGGACCAGAGGGTCCTGGGCCTGGGCAGGCTGGGAGGCCAGGCCCAAGTCCCCACCCAGAAGGCCTCACAGCGGAGGCGGCCCTCCATACCAGCAAGAGAAGATCATGGGGCTGTGGGATGGAGGCGGAGCCAGGCTGCCTTGGGGGTCCTTGGATCCAGATACCCCAGTGCCTCCCTCTTTACAGGAGGGGAGTGGGCCCACCTTTCTCCCCTTCCACATTCCCTCCACCTGCCTGGGGGTTGCCCGGCTGAACGGCTGGGCCACACAGGGCTATGTGCCACCTCTGAGCCACCCTATGCAGGGCTGTGTACTCCCTCTCTGCCCCCATTTCCCCTGCTGGTGATGGACAGCTTTCCAAAGTGCTATTATTCCCCTGCCCGTTCCTTCCACAGGGGCTCCTGCTTGCCCAGGGGAATCCTGTCCTTTCTGTAGAATCATCACGGCATCGTCAACCTGTCTTGGATGTCCACAGAAAAATGAAGAAACAAGAATAATGGAAAAGGAAAATAAGCCAGACACAAAACTGGGGTTCGGGCAGCTGAGCTGAAGATGCCAACCTGCACAGTCCCACCTCAGGCCCCACATGCACTGGCCCGGCCCTGGCTGGCCTCAGAGGGTCCTGCTCATGGACTCGGGAGCTCACGCTGCACTTGCTGGAGTCTTCTACATGCGATCTAGCCTCTGGGGATTCCTGACCAGGCACCCAACTATGCAGTGAGGGGGTTGATTCTGTTTTCCACTGACGAGGCTCAGGGTTGGCCATCCCCTCTGCCATCTGTCTAGCCCTGGGTTCCCCCAACCTGGACACAAGCAAAGGAGAAAAGAGGGCTCCTCCTCACATGTCCATGAGGCGGGGACGCCACCGTGGCCACAAGGGTTCAAAGTGCAGCAAAGGTGGTGTGCAGCGACCAGGGGAGGCTGAAGGCTGCAGGTGTCACTGGGGGCTCCACGCACCAGTCATGAAGCTATTGGTCACTGTCCCACTCAGATGCACCCTAAAAGAAGGTCCCAGCTGCTGCCCATTCTCCATCACGGGGAAGGAAAGAGGGAGGGAGGCCCTGTGCATACTGCAGAATCTATGAGGGACCTGGGGCCAGGCGTGCCCACCCAAAGTCTCTGACAGGCCTTGGGGAGCCAGTCAGCGAACACAGCGCCTGCTGCAGGCAGAGGCCAGGCTTGCTGGGCACCCTCGGCCACCAGCTGAGCCTCCTGGATAGGGCCAAGTAGAAACGTCCCCGCCCGGTGACAGGGGGCAGCCCTCAGGTCCATATTAATTTCAGCTCCATTTTAAAGGCGAGTTAAAATAAACACGGGGAATATTTATAAGGCAAATAAATCTGGCAGAAACAGCCCCTCCAAGTGTGAGCAGAGGCCTCCCCCTCAGCCCCAGCCCAAGCTGATAAAATACAGAAATGCTACTGTAGACCCTGCGGGCTTATTTTGACTGCACGGAGGAATGTAACATGTAAACACTGACTCCCATATCACACTGTTACAACTTGCATTAACAGCACCGGACAAAAGCCGCATTTTCACAGAAGCATCGTACAGGGATATATCTCCAGCTTAATTTTTAAAAAAACCATTTCCTCACATAAATCATGCTCAGAACTAAACGGGTGACTGATACATTGCAAACAATTTTTTTCTTAAACAATAACATACCTAGATTCCTTCTAAACGAAAGAGCTTTTTTTTAAAAAAAAAATCTTCTAAATGTTTTTTTTCTGAAGAAAATAAACACTGCAGTTTCTTTCCTGACCAAAATATCTAGGGCTGTGTCTTCTTGGCTAAATGGGCCACTGTCCCCAGCACACAGTCACAGAGGAGGACCAGCCCAAGCCAGAGCCACCTCGCTGAGCACCGCTGGTACCCACTGCATCCGTGCCTCCCTCCCCAGCCCTGTCTGAAGATGATGCCAGGCGGTCCCACCAGAGGCACAAGAAAGCCGGAGTCAAGAGCCAGAGTAGGACGGGGATTCAACTTGGGGATAGAGCTTTCAGATAGGCTTGAGGGGCTGGGGAATGGCAACACCGTACCCCAGCAGCCCGGTCTCCACCTCACCACACCACAGATGAACTGCAAACACCCAAGGACACAAGGCAAATCTGATCGGTGGAAGCCCTAAGGCAAAATTCAGGGGCTTTTTTTCAAAAACAGTCTTGGGGGTGGGACAGGCCTTCCTGAACATGCAATAAATCTAAAAGCCATTAAGTGTAAAAAGAGATCTAAGTTACATTTAAAAAAAACATTGGTACATTGCACAAGTTAAAAGACATGACAAGCTGAGAAAATCTGCAACATAAACGACATGGGATCACAGCCCTAATATGCAAACCAGCTGGAAGATAAGAAAGAGGTAAGAGAAGCAAAAGAAAAACCAGACAGAAAGCGGGCCAAGGACCAAGCTGAGAATTCACACACACACAATCACACACACACATTCACACACAAACTTACATACAGACCCTCAATTTTAAATGGCCAATAAATACACAAAAAGATGACTATTAACAACAAACGCAAATAAAACCAGGTCATGTTTAACCTACTGGATAGTCAAAGATAAGAGAACAGAAACCTAGAAATTATGCATAAAGAGAAAAGTAACAAATGTGACAACATAAAAATTAAAAGCTTCTGCATGGGGACGACCAGTTAGCTCAGGTGGTTAGAACACAGGGCACAGTGCTCATAACACCAAGGTTGCCGGTTTGATCCCCATGTGGGCCACTGAGGTGCTCCCTCCACAACTAGATTGAAACAACTATGCGACTTGGAGCTGATGGGTCCTGGAAAAATACACTGCTCCCCAATAAACCCCAATAAAATATTAAAAAAAAAAAAAGCTTCTGCATGAAAAACTATCACCAAGTCAAAAGACAAACCACAGCCTAGGGAACCAGTAGAAGGTGACCGACAGAAGGATACAAACCTGCATGAGCTTGAGCGCAAATGCTGGGAGGCACCCAGACGTGCCTCGGGCAGAAGCAACTGGTACTCACCCCACGGGAGCAGAAGAGGCTCCTGTCTATTTTATGTCTTATGGAAAAGCTGATGCCCACGGGAGGGGGACAGGAGACAGACATGCACATGTAACAGGATGTAGCTCGCCAGGAAGAAGCATGTTAGCAGATGTGTGAAGGCATGAAGGGCACCTGCCCTGGACCTGGGGTTTCCATTTGTGGAAATACCCTGACGTAACACATAAGAAGCACTTACGACGGTATATTAGATGCACACCAAAGGTTTTCATTGCAGCGTTTTATAACAACGAGAAAGAGAAACTATTCAGATGCCTGTGAATGGTGGAAAGATAAAATAAACTACACGACATCTATTCAAGGGAATCCAGCCTCAACCCTGAACAAAGATGGCTTGTGAACAGGGAATGCTGACGGTGAGCAGAGCACATGACAGGCACACAGACTACCTATGCAAACAACACCCCCCCCACACACTGTCCCACATGTATACTGGTCACACATCTCTGGACACACTTTTCCACCCATCTTCTCTTGTAGTCAAGTCCCAAGGCAGCCAAGGGCTGCTGACAACCAAGTCTCTGCTGCCCTCTGGTGGCCTTTCCGGTCCCTATGAGCATGACGTCCTCTCCACACCCCATAGGCAGGAGCTGTCTGGACCGGGAACCCCCAATAGCCTGCTCTGTGGGGACAGGAAATGAACTTAGTGCATTTTCACCTACTTGGAGAGTATAAAACCCACTCATGCCACAGTCTCATTTCCATAACTGGGCTGTGGTTTCTGAGGCCTTTGAAGCCATTGCTGGATCTCAGGGAAGCCCAAGGTGCGAACCAGATGAAAGTGGGAACATTCGATCAAGGCAGAAAGGGCCGAGGGCTTTTCCTGACAATATGAACCTTTCCATCCTTGAACGCCCCCCTCCCTGGAACACCGGGGCTCCTGGGAACCCTGTTTGAAAACCCTAGACAATAAATGTCTGATTCGCTTTGTGACACACGTGCCATCACTTCCAAGACAGTCACAGGATGTGTCAACAGCCCCTCTAAGGGGCACAAATAACAGGCTTTCTGTCATCCTCTCAGGTAGATGGGACAGAATGCACTAGGAAAGGGGACCACACAGCATTCTACACGGCCCTGACATTTATGAAGGTGAGCAAAGAGGATCCCCACTAAGGCACACATCGGGTCTTACGTTTTCCCAGGGGATTCCTTCAGCCAGAAGATGTCGTCACTTGTAATCCCATGTTGTACGGCACCTTCAATCTATCCAGAAAAAAAGGATCAAGGTGAGAAGAGTATCATTTGGCGTGTCCCAGAAGACTTCCTCAAGGGGGATGCCCATTTTGTAGACACAACTCAACCAGGGCCACCTCAGCCCACTTAAGAGGGTGCTTCCCTGCCCCCAAGCCTTTTCTTCAGGCTGAGGCCTCTAGGGACAGGTGAGCTGTCTATATCTAACTCTGTGTGCCATCCGCCCAGCACAAAAGCACTGAGTCCTCACTGCTGCGTGGGGTGGCCAGGGAGTCAGGGCGTGGCCAGCAGCTCTTTCCGCTCTGCGCTCCAGGACCTCCACTTTGATCCAGACCCAGGGTTCCGGGCAGGCGAGGCGGGAACTGAGGAGTGGAGGGTCAGGCTGAAGGGTGGGTGTGATCGGGCACCCTCAAAGGACAGTACAGGTGGGCAATGTGCCCAGGAATTATGCAGAGCACCCTGTATACCAACAGGGCCTGATGAGGGGTTGCTAAGCAGGTGGGGGGGGGGACACCAGGACAAGTGCCCTCTCAGATGCCTGTGAGCAAGATGTGCTGAGAGGAAATGGATTTCAAATAGTTTGCGATTCTAATGGGCAAAAAAATAAATAAATAAAATAAGGTCAGGAATTTCTTGGGTTTGTGGAAGGAAAATCAAAAGTTCTGAAACTCAAAGGGACTAAAACACAAGCAAGTCCTGGCAGGCACGCAGGGAGGTGGGCGGCGGGATTATCCTGGGAAGGGTGGCAGAGAGCAGAGTGACCACTGGGCTGCCTCCCCCAGGACCGGCAGCTCCTGCCTCATCCCCCTTAGGGTGAATGGAGACATCGGCAGCCGCCCAGCCGAGGTCCAGCAGGGTGGCCAGGCCAGTCTCCTCTGCAGGGCTCCCTGGCTTGGGCACATGTGCAGCTCTGCCTGGTGCCTGGAAGGAGCAGAGATGATCACCTGGTTCCCGGGAGCTGACGATGGCTTTTAGGGGATTTAGGTAGAACCAACATTGGCCTGGTTTCTGGGTGAGGGGTCACTAATAGTCACCCGCTTTGCCCTGTCTGTTGCAGCTACCTTACCAGCACCCTACCATCCTGCAGAGCCATGCAGCCTACCCAAGGGCCAGCCCTGTGCATAAGCTGCCTGGTCTTCTCGGAAGGCTGCTTTTGCTGGCCTGCCAACGGGAGGGGAGGTTCAGTGGTTCCTGAGGACCGGACGTGTGCTTTTTCCTCAGTGCTCTATTTCCACAGAAACCACAAAACAGAAAGTGGAGGTTCAGGACTTAAGCGTCTGGGAAGAAACAGAATCACTCTTTGTTCTTCCTCTGTCCGTGCTCCATCTGGGTCTAAGTAGGAGATAGGAGTGGCTTCCAGGCCATGGGACCTGTGGGCCTGTGCACTTTGCTGCGGCCCACGTGGAGGCTCAGGGCTCAAGGCACCCAGCTGCTGGATCCCCTGGGAGACCTGCAAGGATGTGGCCTCAGCCAAACCCCTCTATTGGCCCTTCCTGCTTTCCATTCCCCAACCCCACCCCACCTGGGGCCTCTTCCTCAGCTCCACCTTCCTCGTGGGGGGAGGACAGGGAAGCCCCCACATGTAAGACTGTGCCAGGAGGTGACATCAGCAAAAATGGTGTGGAATGATGACCTTCTAAAGTCCACCCCCCCAAAAAACAGCAAAAGAACAGGCAAAAACTGTTTCATAACTGAAGGCTTATGGCTCTGTTCTCCCAGCTCAGTGGCAGCCTTGAAAAATGACAGTACCAGAGACAGCAGACCAGAGCCGGAGCCTGTTCAAAGCTTCTTCCCAAAGAACAGTCAATGGTTGACCTGGCTGGTGGTTCCCTGAAAGGACCCCACTCAACAGGCTTGTCTTTATCTGACCTCACTTGAACTCACCCAGTGTTGAAAGCCTCTCCCTGGGGAGGATTTGCCCAATGATTGAACATCACGGCTGCCTGTAGTGATGGATAACAGCTGACGCAAAAATAGACTAACCAAAAGCGTAAAAGAAAAAGCTGAAGAATGAGATGTCCACAGGGGCTTTGAATGCTCCAGTATATTCCTGGGATGTAGTCGGGCAGGTGTAGACACTGGGCTGTGCACACACCTGGGAAACACCTGAGATGGCCCTGAGCTCTCACCTCTCAATGATCTTGAGAGTCTACACAAGCAGGAAGTGAGAGCTAAGGCAGAGTTTCTCCTGCTTGGCTGAGTGTTCAAGGCGTGCCCTGAAATGCCCACAGGAGCCCTCAGCAAAGACTAGATTTCTTGGTTCCAGGTATTTAAAGAAATCTTTGTCTAGTCATTAGCTGACCACTAAGCCAACTGAGCAGAGACTTCAGTGGCCTCA